CCTGTAAGCTTACAGATACGAAAAAAATGCTATAAGGCTGCTGATATGAAGCTTGCAGTGAACAAGGTTGTTGTAAATGCTCAATGGCATGTTCATGGATACGGTAATATCGCATCAATAATATGGTAATATCGCATCAATAATATGGTAATCAATGTATATGGTAATATATCAATAAAGGAAAAACTAGTAAAAATCACAGAAAATGTCATTTATTCTACCTCTACATCACCTACAATGAAAGAGGAGGACTTCAGTGTACTGATAGTAATGGATGAGTACACTCTGTATGCTTCAAATATTTTAAAATGAAGTTTTATTCCCAGTGTCCCAAGTAGCCCTGTTTGACGGGGCTCTTCAGGACACTCTTTTTTTTTTGCTTCTGGCACCTTACAAATAGCATATGGAATTTTTTTGAAGACGCCATTTGATAGCCCTTGCAAAGAGCTATAAAATGAGCCTAAACTTGTTTATGAAATGTTTCATGGTAAGAAGTTATTAACAAAAAATGCTCAAAACCGTCCCAAGTAGCCCCGGTTGACGGTATATATATCATTCAAAACTACTTTCAGAACCAATCGGTCCACTCTGTCTGATCAAATATATATATGGTTTACAAAGTCTTTACTAAGTCTCTTCATTAGCAATCAAAGTCAAATTGATTGCTAATGTAAAGAACTAGATATGTTGTAATGCTATTAATTTATCATAAAACTTATATCCTGATATTTCCATGCTTTATTATAAGTGAAATTCATTACCTGAAGGGAGAATTTTTGAGTAAAATGTGAAAACTTGCTTCATGTGAACTTTCCCATTAGAAGTATGTAACAAAGTCTATCAGTGATAAGTTTTCTACTAGTTACTACCATAAGAGAAAATTAAAATAGAATCAAATTAGATGGCCACAAGTTTATTTGTTGATATTCAACAATAACGAGTAATAATTAATTAATAATATAATTTAAACAGAATTAAAGCATATTTTAAGTTTAGAATGGCACACAAAATGTTTATAAAACTACTTGCTTTATGAGGTGTTGTGTGCCATAAAGTAGTGTGGCAAGCTGGAGTAATCTGCCATTTCTAAAGAGAAGGGGCTGCTATGCCAGTGTCTTCACTGAGCTCATGAGAGGCTGCTGTTATTCAGACATCATGCAATTTACCGACTGCATATCAACCTTGGTGTTGCTATTCTTGATGCTCTTCACTAGTTATCTGCAACTGAACAATTTTTACAAATAAAAATATATAATATTAATACAAATATTTTCCTACAATATAAAAAATTTTCAACTTTTGCAAAAGAGTCTCAAGATTTTAATACTACCAACCAAAATTTTCATACCACACAAAATAATTAGATAATACCCAAGTTTTTTTATGGCATGTGGCAAATTGTAATTGCAGTGAGCAACTGAAGATTGAAGATGTCCCTCTCCATGTTTGGGTAATAGCAAATTTGATTTCCCAATAAATAGATTTGATCCTCATTGGTATTTAAATGATGGGAAATTGTTTAAAAATTTGAACACATCTTTATATGCGTCATGTGAATTTTTCATGTTTATATAGGATTTTGTCAATATTGACCTACCAACTTACTTCTGTCAACACAGAAAATGAAACATGGCTCAAGAATAATTTACTCTTCCATCATGAGTTTTTAAACTTCTCATGTCTTTTATCTTCTAGATTTCTTATGGCTACTCCACTGACAGACAGGATACATGAGGCATATATCTCTATCTTATATCTTTAATCACTTCTTGACTCATTCATTGTGTTCACTATAGCCCTTTCATATTAATATGTTATTTATGTTTGTTTCAGGATTACTATGTTTGGGAATAAACTTGTAGCAAATTTAAGTCATAAAGGCTTATTGTCAATTCCTAATGTAACCTTGCTGAGGCTTTCATATGTAGGCTTCTGCAGCAAAGCTCCAACAGAAGACCATAATGATTCATTTTCTGGAGGCAAGTAATTTATAGTCAAGGTTTGCCTTTTAATTATTCCTTTTAACCTTAAGAGAAGTAATGCATCCAAAATATTTTTGCTGGCAGCTATTGTCTGGGTATATTTTTCTAGTTCTTGTGTTCATATCTGTCATGAGCATTCAAAACTATACTTTTAATAATACTGACTTATTTATCAGTATATTTATAGTGTTGGAACCATGAGCTGGCTGGTTGTGACTGAAGGTGTTTGTTTATGACTGGTTTGAGAAAATCGTGGTCTTAACCTCCCCTAGATTCATCCTTAACCACTTTCCTATTTAATGTATTGTGTTTCTGTATTTATGTTCATTGAAAAGATTCTCTTGAGAGTTATTGTTGGTTTAAATTGTTGTTTTGTAATTTTGAATTCCTGACATGTTGGTTTGTGGAAGCAACAAAGATAAAAATTATCTGACTTCATAGTTGTCTAATCTATAGTTATAACTTCTACAGAAGATTTTCCACCACTTCAACTCTGGGCTCATGAGAAGAAAGCTTTTTCAAGAAGAAAGCAAAAAATGGCACAAGAATTGCCTCCAAGGTAAGAATTTTTTAGATTATTGTACATCTAGAAATATATTCAGAGATCTGCAATGTAGATATGTACTATTTTTTAAAACTTGATTTAAATGAAGTTTGTTTTAAATTGGGCATAAAGCACAAACTTTGGAGCCCTTAGAGAATATTAATGAAAATATTCAATGTTTTATTCTAAAAATCACATCCAAGAAATTTCTCTTCTTTACACTGCTGTAGGTCTGCAACTATGAAGCCAGACCAAGACTGGACCAACGTGTGGCCTACCAGTCATTCCTTCAAGCCTGCAACTGTGCCTCTGCCCATCCGCATGGGGATGCCTCCCTCAAATCGACCAACTCCAGACAAGTGGGCCAATGCAGAGCTCATGAAGATCCCCAATTTTTTGCACTTGACACCTCCTGCTGTTGAGAGGCATTGCGCTGCCATCCAAAGTGAGATTTTACTCGTATTACCATAATCAACCAGAGCTTGCTACATCTAACTTGTAAATTTGAAAATATTCTCTGGGCTTCCAGTGAGAATGTGTTCAAACACTAGAATTATTTTGCCATTACGGAGTCATTTCTTACAAATTTCTCTCCGTTATTTTAGTTCATTTTAATTTACAGGCCATTGCTAAGGCAATACATCTACTTCTTTTATTTCAGAGTACTGTAGCCCATGGCCAGAAGGTGTGTCATATGCATCAGCGTTAACTGAGGACACCCAAAATCCTGACCCCAACCCTAAGAAGAAATCAAAAACGAAACTTCCAGGCTTCAGCCCTGACCCTGACGTGGTCTTCACAGACCCTGGCTACTTCCCTATGAGTGTCACCAAAACCAGCTACCTCTACAGTGGGCCCTCTATCAGAGACGAGCGAGCCAGGGTTGCTGTTGTTAAGGTGCAATTCCTTCAGTGATGGCAATCACTTTCGTTACTCCATTTTCGGCTATTTCTCCGTGAATACTGAACTCTATATACTGGGGTTGGACAAAATAAGGGAAACGCCAAACATTTTGAGATCATAATTATTTAACTCGTTTTAAACAATACAAATTTAACCTATTTAATGTTTATTGTTAATATTTTCAATGGATTATTGCTGCTAATTGATATTTTATGCTTTTATAGATTTTTCTTTGAAAATTTTGTGGCTAAAACCTAATATAAATGGCAAGCCTGTCCGAGTTTCACAGAGGCCAAATTGTTGGTGCTCTTATGGCAGGCGCTAGTGTGACATAAACTTCCCGAATTATTGATGTGTCAAGAGACACTGTCGCAAAAGTAATGACTACATACTTTTGAAAGAGAAGGAAAATCCGTCCTCACCAAAGCCCAGTTCTGGCCAAAAGTCGAAGTTGTGTGAGAGAGGTCGTCGGTCTCTAAAACCAAGTATTAGGCATAATCAAAAGAGACTGGATCTTATAATTGTAGTGAACCACATTCCACACCTACAGAACCCAGTTTACTTAAAAATTTTTTGTCGGGAGTTGCAAAATTCTTGATTTTAAAAAAGATCTGCGCTTAAAAAAATTCCCGTTCTCGTACACAAATGCTTTAAAGCGATCAGAATGGCGTAAAAACCTCCAGAATTGGTGGCCAGAGCAGTGGACAAATGTGATTTTCTCTGACGACTCACCGTTTACGGTACCTTATTTCCGACCTCTGGCCGAGTGTACGTTTGGAGAGGGTTAAAATAGGTCAAAAGAGGGTTAAACTTGGTTTAGCTGAACGAGGGTTAAAGATGAGTTCAACTGAAGAATGGGTTAAAATTATTTGAAAACAATTCACAATTTGTACGAATTAATACTACCAATCTTGCAACAGTCTTTAGCTATGCATCAAACTGGACATATTTAGAAGCTTTCAAACTTCCTTAATTTTGTTCTGAACAACTGAAGATGAAATTTTACTAACAATCGACAATTAAGTTCTATTTCTTTCTACTGCCTTTTAGTACTGGCAAATGTTGAAGAACAATTTCATTTGATGGATACCAATTTGTTTCCTTGTTGCCCCACCATGACTAATTCCGTATCATTTGACAATCAATTGGATATACCATAAGACAATTGTTCGCAATTGTTTGATATTGTGTAAGTGCGATATTTCCACAGCTACACAGTATACAGTACTTGAGTGTTAACATATTTGTGTCTCATCAGGTTCGTTTAGAGGACTTGCAGCTTGATGCCCACAGCTACGACAAGCTACTGCGGCTAGTGGGTGATCGGTACGACCGAGCCAGCCATACTATCACCCTCACGGGCGACCGCTGCCCCTTGTACTCTCAAAATCTGGACTACTGCATGTACCTTCTCACTGTCATGCTTGCTGAGGCGCAGGTAACGTTAAAATTTTGCTGCTTCTATGCTCACTTTCTCTGCCATTCAATTGAAATATTTTAGTGGAGTTTATATGTTAATTAAAGAAGTAACATGCTCAGCGTATGAAGTGAACGGTTATAATTTCCAGTCTGGATTGAGTTTATTTGTGTGTGTGTTAGACCAAAGAGGCGTGGGAGCACGAAAAGCCGCGCCAGGACCACGAATCATTCGAGTACAGCGGCAGCAGCAGCGAGGCGGCCGTAGCTGCTCTGCGGGAACGGCAGGCGCTAGCGGGCGTCGCTCCGGTCACTGAGCAGCAAGAACAGCGATACAAGGAAGCTCTGAATGGCCTCCTCAATGGAGGTGAATTTATTAACATTAGAAAGTGGAAAATACTCCTATCAATGCTTTAGAGTTGTGCAAACGGAAAGATTTGTAAACTCTTCGTACCAACTTAAATGTCCTTATTTTTATAATCCAAAATTTTTGTGGTAGGCATTAACTTATAGAAGTCCACTGGTTCCTTAAGTGAAGACAAACTCATTGTCTTATTTTCAGATAGTTTTTGACTCATTTTTGCTTTTATTTGTATCAATTATTTTCAATCTTAATCGAAAATTAAGCAAGAATTTAAAAAAGAAAAAAAGCCAAGTATATTCAAGATATCTTCATTGAAAACGTTTCGGAGACCGGCTCATCACCTGTTCAAAATTAAAAGAAACGAATGTAACCAATGGAAACGCTTAACATGGAATAAATTAAAACCTAAATGCTGAATAAGCGGGCAAAAAAACACAATAATCTATTACTTAATAATTCTAAGCGGAAAGCTGTATGTGTAATTAGGGACAAGACTTCAATTTAATCAATCTCTAATACTTGCCTAAAAAGCGGCAATGAATTAACGTGGCATTTTCTCTGCTCTTAATTTCTTGATGATTGCTTCTGAAGAGTAACGTTGAAACCACCACATCATGTGCAGGCGAAACGGACGCTAGTGTAACCGAGTACGGCGAGAGCGTTCTCAACCTCCTCGGCATCAGCGAGCGCGTGCACGACGCTGTCAGCCACCACAACCACAGCATCGACAATGACCTCAACTTACCTGACATTTCCGTCAAAACTTACTTCGAAAGAATCAATGTTAAATGGCAGAACTGCGGCTGGTATCCTAAAATACCTCGGTAAACCCGCCGTAAATGAATTTTTCATTTTATATTAATATATTATTATTAATGGTTTTGGGAGGTTAGCAAGATCGAATTTGGGGATTTACTCTTTCAGAACATGTTCAGGTGGCTACTAAATTTCAAAATCAAGCGCAAATTCTAACTAAATATTAGACACTTTCAACAAATAATAAAACATCATACCCTCAATATAGCTGCTATTGTCGGATTTGTATATGAAGTCATGTTTCTTGAGCACATGGTTTAATGATAATCGACTACTTTGATGTGAAATAGTCCATGCTGAAAAAGAACTTCATTCGCATTCTCTGAAGTATCACATCAGGAATAATGAGACGGTTCAGACAACATATTTATTCAATTACGTAAATGTCAATCTTGAATGTACATAATCATGACTAACCCTGGAATAATCATTTAACCTGCTCGAAGTCAACCAATATGAGCGAAATGCGACAGAATGCAGTGTAAATTGATAACTAACCGCGCGTTATTTTCGAATCAACTACCGGAATTGAAATTATTCCTTCACAAAATGGAATGAATTTATTGTCGAGGCGTCCGAAGTTACTATCAAGTTGATCCAGTTTTAGCTAACAACAGCTGTGCAAGAGTTGAAAGCGCGCTGGTGCAACAATACGATGATAATTTTGGAAGCAAGATAACTCTTTACTAATTCTGGCAATTTCCATCAGATATCGGTACTTCCTGCTAGCGAATGACGCCTAAATCTTGATACCAGTCATCGTCAAAACTCTGTGCTATTTTCCGTTTGGGTTTCTTAATTTTGCAACATTTGGTTGTAGGAGTTTACTGCAATCGCGCTAAATTGCTCGGTGAACAAATTTTATTTCGGAACTTCCGATTCAGCCCAAATCATCGTTTGTTAACAAATTCTACTATCTGAAGCAAGATGGTAACTTGTAAAAAGATTGGTATTTAATTTAGAAAGTAATTTTATGCTCCTCAAAATTTTTTTAAGCAGAAATAAACGGAAGTACATGGCCGTGTATCCTTACAACGTCTTGATATCTTTTTTTTACTAGTCAACACGAATTATTATTATGACATAAATCACAAGAACAAGGAAGGTGAGCTATGCACATTCAAGTGTATAATAACGCAGTAAAACAGCAGTCGACCACACATAACCACGAATTTTGTCAGCGAAACAGCAAGTGGAACACAAATCCATCGTATTCCTCCAGTAAACTAAACCAGTACAAAAGTTTATATGGTCCTAAGTGGTAAATCAATGCAAGACATGACACACTAAGCAAACATTGATCAAGCATGGGCTTTTTGAAGTTAATTTAAACTTATGAGGCAACCTTAATACTATTGAAGTCCAAAGCACGAACTGGTTCGATGTAGAAGCATGCAAGCAAGATGAAGTATGATTTGGAAGAATGCCCGATACGTAATATTTCGTATACTTTCATCATACCATGTAAATAAAGTAAAGAGCCAAATGAGAAAATTACCTAGGTTTTTTCAACAACATATTCGTCAGAGTGAAGGCAGTTACGGCGGGGTTCTGGACATCTGAACCTGATAACGTAAAGAGGGCCTCAAGAGGAAAGAACTTAAGGAAGAAATACATGTGATTCACGGAAACTTCCTAATTAGAAAGCCCAATAAAAAAAGAACTAATAAAGACATTATTACGATATACATTTCATTGAAAAATACAGTACCTGAATTCGTGTATCCCTTAGATTTAAAGATGACATCGGGCAAATGAGGCCTCAGTTTAAACACATTGTGGTGCCGAGTGGCATCACGTCTATCGTACTTGAAAACCCATATCGACTTGGCATGCGTACACTTCCGAACGATTTTGAATTTTCCCAGTCAGCGGCTGTTACGGGAACATTCTTTTTTCAGGACCGATCCTCAAGGGACACGACTGAAGTTTTACAAGTCAAACCGTTCAGAAATTAGCCTCAAAAAATATCCAAAATAAATTTTAATGAAGTATCAGCAGGACGATTGCACTAGACGAAGGCACACGAAACAAAACGAGCTAAAATAAGTGCTCACTTTTAACACCATATCAGTGACCATTCAAATTAATTGAGAAACAGCTAGAAAAAACTTCGGCGTAGATAACAATGCTGAGACCAAGAGAATTTCCATCGAGCGTCTGAAAGAGGCCCATATATGTGAACGAAAAGCAACAGGAACTAATCCGCCTAAGGGAGACCGGGACGGCGGACGCGTCCAAAAAGAAGTCTACTCCTATATGGTAGAATCCATTGATAATATTTGTTAAGAGTCGGATAGCAATAACCGCCAGTACGGAGGCCCTGCTGATTTAAATGATTGAAGAAAAGCGCAGTGGCAGGGAAATCCGAGTTTTAGGACTTACAACGATTATATTTACTATTAATATTAAGCACTTCCGTGTAGGATTAAAGTTCAAACCTATGGAATTAATGTAAGTTTCGCAGGATTGGTTCCGCCATTTGGGGATGTCAGGTGGTGTCCCGTGGCAACACTGGCAGCACGTCTGGCGCACTTGAAAACCCATGATACCGACTGTCTGGGGCGCCTTTGTGTGGAAGCACGTGAACAGAAAGGTCAGCTTCTCCTTCTCCCCGTCTCAATATTTACTTGTTCTAACCTCGTCTGAGGTTCAAGATTTGGGTAAATACAAATATAAAGGTCCAAGAATTATTCTTCTTACGACCTTCAACGTCCAGTTAGTTGATTTATGAAGTTTCGTTCAACTTGCTGAAGCTTATTGACGGGACGTATGTTGGCGATGGCTTGGCGTATGTTGTTCTTCAGATGAGGTGGGATCTTTGGACAATCACTGTAAACAATTGATTTAAGATAACTTGCCCTAAATGTGTTCACCCACAAAACAATCGATTTCCGATCAGGAACCCGACCTGATAGACGAATACGAAACCGAGTACGCAATGCTCGTTGAGTAGCGACAATGGAACGGTCATTAGAAAAGTACGCCACGACAGCAAATGCACGCTGCTCACTTGTACAATGCATAGTGACAACTAACTAGGCGGGACACAAAACCTCAGGACCTTGTAGCTTATCAAAAAATTTCTCTGCCCTTCTTCTACATCTGGCTGCTGTTCGCGATATACAAAACAGGAAGTTTCCGTGAATCTCTTAGTATTTCGTCTGTTTGCCAAGTTATAAGCATTAATTAATAAGAACAAACTATCAAATAATGCTAAACCGACATAAATAATCATGCGTTATTCTCTGAAGCAATAGGTGACAAAATATTATGCTTATTACAGTTCGTCAGAAAATCAGCATTTCAAAAACTATTCTATGAAAAAAAATAGAAAAAACATTATAGATAGAAGCATTAAAAAATAAAAGCAAATAAAAATAAATAATATAGAAAAGCTTTAAAAAATAGAAAAGTATTTGTGTATTGTCTGCAAAACAGCATTCCAATATTGAGAGTTTTTTTTTCTACTGACTCGTGCGTCGAAAACTAATAGGTCGGATTTTCATGCAATCCGATTGCGTAGGCGTACGTTTCAGAGTACATTTGACGGCAACCAAAAGTATTGAAGTTGCAATATGCTTATTTCTATCAGACGTAGAACGCAAACTTAGCTTCAAGCAATTAACGTATCTTCCTTCGCTTGATGTATTTCTCGAATCATAAAAACCTACTTTAGACCAGAATAATGAACATTTCTGAACGAAAATGACTTCTGTGGAAAAAAGCAAACAAATCATGAGCGCGGATGCACGCAAGCCTTTGCTATCACGTTAGTTCACAAATTTAATTTAAATTAAGAGTACTTACTAGAAAAAGCCCAAAACTCTACGTAAAAGTTGAGAACACATTTACGTAATAATGGTGTAAGTTTTGCGCGACTCATGTGTATAGTTTACATCACGGGTTTGCATCACTGATGACCTGTGGTGACTTCATCAGGGAGCCTCTTCTGAAGAAACTCACGCGAGGTTTTGTTGAGGGCAGAGGCTTTCCTGACGCGCTGCCCTTCGCAGCCACGCCGAGGACACTGCCAAGTTTCTTGAATTTGTTCGAGAGGAGGAATGAGCAAACTGTCTTTTTCCCGGCAGACTTGGTGACTTCGAGTGAACTTGTTCCGTTACTGATAACAGGCGTGGGAGGCAACAGAGGCTGAGATTTGTGGCTTTCACCACATGATGAGGTTTTGGTTATGATAGGTTTTGCAATATTAGCCGTTCTTTCCTCATTGCAACGCATCCTGGAGTAGTCGGCCATTGTTGTTGGTGAAACAATTGTTGCCTCACTCGCAGAACTAGGACATGATTCAAGACAGGAAACTGAATCAGAAGAGATGGTACTGCTTAGTCTGCTCTTAACATTTTTAAGAGGGCTCGATCGTAACGCACCTGCTGGCTCCAAGTCACTGGTACTGAGACTGCATCTTGGCTGCATGGAGTGTGATGTCATGACGCTGCTCTTGATTGGTGACCGCGCAACAGAAAACGTATTATTCATTGTAGTGCCGAACGTATAGGGTTGAGTCCCGGAAATTATTGAACTGGAAACAAATCCATGAGCAGTCAAAGCAGGTAGAGATGGTGAGCAAAAATTGCCGTAAGGCTCACTGCTAATGTAGGACAATCCACTAGGGTCACTTATGAAAGGAATCGTGGATTGGATGACAGGCTGAGAACGAATCATTATCGGGTTTGCGCTGTTATTGAAGTGAAGTTCTGTGGCATTTGTCTCAGAGCCATCGGGTTCTACGATGGAAAAGAAAGTGTTGTACGGCAAAATCACCTGAGCCCCATCATGCGTATTTGCTCGAATGTACGATTGGTTAGGAGGAGCGAAGAAAGCCTGTTGCACAGGTGCAGGGGGCAGCAGTAAGGGTCCTGATGGAGATGGGAAGCCTTGCTGCGACTGGCTAAGTGCAGGCTCGTTAAATGAAAGCATGGGTGAAACATTGGAAGGTTGGCAAGTAGTACCAGCCAAATGAGTGTTATTTTTGGGAAGGGTAAACGAAGATTGAAACTGAGGTGTGGTTTGTGGGACAACTCTGGTCATTGCTGGCTGTAAATATGGAGAGTTTATGTTGCTCACATTTTCAGGCAACGTCATGACACTCACGCCATTTTGCTGCAACTGATCGACGAGTTGAGCGTCGGTTACATTGTCACCGTTCTGAGGCATGTAATCAGAAATGCATTCGTTCTCGGTACCAGGATCTATAGGCGAGTCGTAGTCGTCTACGACACCGTTCGATTCGTGGCTAAGCGGATCTGTAGGAGATTTCTCTTCTTCTAACCTGGTGATGTTTCCTTCATGGAATATATCCTCACTGTTCGTGACTGGTTTGTTATCTCCCTGCGCAGACGTATCACATGCTGACTCCATTTCCCAGTCGTTCGATAACTCATTTACTGACTCCTCGAATACGTTCGACCGAGCACTTCTATTTTTATTGGACCGATTAACGAGCTCAGTGAGTCCTTCCTTCACGTCAATCTCAGTCTTTTCACTTCCGTTACTCATAGCAGCCAGAGATCGCTCTGTTTCCGGACTCAGCAGCAAAGAATCTGGCCAGTTTCCTGATTGCATCGTTTCTTCATTACAGTTGGTGTCAGATTCTGTGTGCGGCTCAACCTTGTTGGACCAGGGAATTCTTGCGTTGAAATTGACTGAATCTGTAGGGTTTTGAGGTGTGTGCCAAGAGTGAACGGGTTTGATGGCCTTCATCTCTGGTTTGGAGTCAGGTACAACTACTCCAGTCTGTTTTCTGTGCGATGACAACTTGGAAATTGGTTGCCGATTTTTGGAATTACGTGATGTAGATTTTTTTGGTTGCTTAGTCCGAGTTTTTGACTTCAAATCCGGCTTAGCTCTACTCTGCTCAGAGAGATTCTTCATGACAATCGACTTGTTATTTGCCGATGTTGAAGCTTTTTCGTTGGTTTTCTTCTTTGGTGAATCTGATTTTTTCTTGTTTGAAATACAAGATTCATTCTTTCTCTTTAGGTTGATAGCAGAAGATTTTACATCAGAAGCAACAGGTTTACGTTTCGGAGTATTTCTTGCCGTAGATCTCTTATGCGAAACAGGCTCTTCATTTATCTGTTTGGGTTTGCCAACAGTGACGTAACTGCAACCAGTAGTTAAGCTTTTTACTAGACTGCACGGCTGCGGATCATTTTCTTTCTTGATGATTCTCTTGATTTCTGTCTTACCAACGATTGGCCATTCCTCTGTAATAGCTTTAACTTTAGTCTGGTTTTCATTCGATGCATTCAGTTCATACTTGAAAGTTTTGAAATCCGGTCCAATTCTCTTCGCCCTGTTCCAGTTGCAGTTGTGCGACCTCAGTACACTGTTAGTCTGCCACGCTCTGGGTGTAGATGGCAAAGACTCGTTAGGATCATCAGCCCCGCATTGAATGTACCGAAGCTCGTTGCCCACAACAATTGGAACCAACTGTGCTTTCGTTCGAGTCATTTCCTCGATCTGCTCCACCTTGGCAGCAACTGGAGTTTTCTGATTGAATCTCTCCATCATTCTCATACGCATCCTGATGTTGCATTTGCCGCTTTTCACAAAAGGTTGATTGCCAGTTATGAAGTCTTGAGGTTTTACTGATTCAGGCTGACATCGCTGGGCTTTTATGATCTGCATGTCCCTAACATCAACATTCTGGCCATGAACAGCTCGCAACCTGGGTAGGGTCATCAGTGATATCTTGTCCATAAGCCTTTTGATTTGTTCGGGATCTCGTTTGATGAACTCAAACATCTCAATACTCATATTGGCTTTTATATTATTTGTCACGCGCTTACCATTCACCAGCATCTGCAGGGTTATTTCAAGTAGCGACGGATTTTTACGACCCCTTTCGGAAGAAACAGTGCTGTTGTTTTCCTGTTCGTTATCACTGGTATTTTCATCATGAGGTCCTACAGTTTCTCCAAGGTCACAGAGCTCTAAAGCAGTGAAGCAGCCATTTTCTTCAAAGGAATCATCATCCACTGAGTGAAACCCTTTAACGTCTTGCGTTAAAATTGTTGGAGTTCCCATAGCAGATTTTTCCAATTGAGCTGGCAGCGCCTTTACATCAAGGGAAAGGTCTACTTTTCCCCTAAGAGCCTGTTTCAACTTAATTCTATCCTTCCTCTGCCTGGCATTGAGGGAGATTTCGGCTGCAGCAATAGGCATGTGAGGTAGGGACCTGTCCCTGGTGTTCAAGTAAGTCGGGTTACGTCCGCGACGTCTTTTGACCACAGACTGGCCAAGTGACGGCTGCCAGGGTCCTTTGAAACCATAAGCTGAGGGAGGAATTTTACTCAAATCCGATACCGAATTTTCGTCATCCTCGGTGCTGTCTTCAATTGCCAGTTTCCGGACAAACAAAGTAGGCTTGGAAGAAACACAAACACGTTGCTGAGCAAGAACCACATCCAATGGATTGTCTGCTACACTTGGATTGTCTGTCACACTTTCCTCGTTCTCTTGTGTCTGCTCATGCTTCCTAGCATATTTTTCTGCCGCAGTAATAGATGTGGCTCGTTGTTGAATGGCATAACGTTTTTCACCTGTGGAAAAAAATATTTTATAGTTCACAGAGATCAGAACGCAAAATTGTAATGTGACTCGTGTAAAATCGACGACTAGTCATTTCTTCTGACATTTATCCACCACTTTCCTATTCTAAGCCATAGTTAGCTCGGTGTCACTCACCTAAAGCAAGCATGGGGTCCGAGTGGAGCTCGGGACGCGCGTGTACAGCGTGCTGGCCCTTGAAGCTCAGTAGCGTCAAGGTGTAGTCCTCCAGCTGCAGCAGCTCCTGCTTCACCTCCTCGCAGCAGCTGGGGCTGAATATACTCAGCGCTCGGTCTGGCCCACTGTTGTTTGCCCCATCTTGATGTAAAATATAAAATTAGCATTACAATTTTTTTAATTAGTGTAAAAACATTAAAAAAATGGGTAATAACGTTTTCTTACGGGCATGTATTCTCCCGCATGTGTAAAGCTTAAGGTTTGATCTGAATTAAAACAAAAAAATCTGCACTAGTCAAACTTTGTCAATTTATTTAATTTGATGAGCACCATATAAAATTTATAATTAAAAACTTCATTTTCTCCGATTTCTCCCACCATTTTACAAGGAATTGAGCTGAAAATAAAGCCTGTCAGAATGATTCAATTTGCAGCAACTCTTAACTTCACAATAGAGTATAAATCAAATTAGTTTTACTAACCCTGAGTTGCTTGGGAGGCAGCCGTCTTGACTCGATGGTACTCAGTGACAAGCTTCATGTCTGTGCTCAAGTCTTGCACGGCGAGCGGCACGTTAGAGGACTGCGCCAGACGTAGGTAGCCGTACTCAACACACACGCTGCTGCTGTTGTACGCTGTGTGCAGTCCTATGCACAGCTGCAGAAGTTCATTGCGCATCAAATACACAATTCACTTAACAACCATTGATATTTCAGAACAAACTCGACTGAAGTTCCAAATACTTCTCAGTCATTGATATCAGATAAGAACCTAGACTACAAAACTTCAAGTCTATATTGACGATTGGCGTCTCAGTAATGAAAGTGAGCTTAAATTTTTTTTACATTATATTCTGAAGTTTTTACTTCAAGATTTACCAGTCACCGTCAATTATTAACCAGTTTACGGCATGTGCAAATACATATATTCACCATAAAATGTACGCAGCCGTGATTAATAAAAAAATTAACCTTGTTCCAAATTAAAAAAATAAGTCAGAAGTTAATTTAAAAATTTCTGCCTTTATAATGCTTCTTAATTCACTGTATTTTGGACAGGACATTATCTTATAGGAATTAACCTCGTTTTCAGAGGCTGTTTGCAGAATGGCACAGTCAACATGGAGCTTTATTAAGATCCTGGCGGGGTCAGGATTGGTGTAGTGGGGCTGACGAAGCACAAGGTCCACCAGGTCCTTGTACTGCTTCACAGTGAAGCGCAGGAAGAACTCGTGCCTGGATAGAACATTACAAGCAAATATTCTTGTCAAGTGTAAAACAAATGTAGTTTCATAAACCAACTTATCACACACAGACACACACTTCACTGAAATGTGACCAAATATGACGATAATTGAGCATTGCAGAACAGAATGATTTTTAGCCCATCCAACAGATCAGACATGCAGAATAATAATACAAACTAACATAAAATCAGAAAAATTATTACAAATTGCCTTGAAACTTGATGCAAATGAACAACCAACTATGCAACAATAAAGAATGCAAGCTTAGGTTGAAAATGGGCTTGTGTCTTTTCATAAAATCCTAATATCAGGAATCCAAATCATATTCAAAATCCAAATCATATTCAATTTTGTAAACAGGACTGCACTTAATCTCAAGGTATCCCACAAAATAATTTTTAAATAGTTAGTCATGAGTGCAGACAATACATTTGCTCACCTCACAGGATGCTTGTAGTAAATACTGTACAGGGTGTAGAATGCCCCAAGCCTCCTGCGATCCGAGTGCATATTCTCAAGAAATTTCTTGGTGAGCACCACTATTTCTTCAGAAAATTCCAAAAGTTCTTTGAAAGACTGTCGACCCCTGTTAATATAATATTCGGTTCAGTCTCAGATGATAAAATTGTCAATTATTCGATACAATGTTGGAGGTCAACTTGCAGTAAAATCCAACTCACAACATTGAACTTGAAATTTTTTGAAACAATGGTAGTACATGTTGAATAGAATAAGGCAGAAGCCAAGAGTACCGTAGATTTGAATTGCCAAGATAAGTAAAGTTTCATAAATTTAAGTTAGATAAGTAAAAATAAAAAAATCATTAAAAAAAACATGTTTTTCTTGTGGACTAAAAAGTAGAAAAATAAGTTATGGCTCGCCCCAAAAACGTGTGTCGGGCAGATTTATGATTAAAGCGAAAAGCACACAACACACGAATTTTGGAAATTTGATGGTAAACGTACAGCCTGACCCACGTTTTTGGGGCGAGCCATAATTTATTTTCTACTTTTTAGTCCACAAGAAAAACGTGTTTGCTGCACGGACTAAAAAGCATGACTTGACGTACGTATCGATGATACGCAGCGTCAGCGCCTGCTCGTCTATAACGTCAGCGCCCGCACGTCATAATATATATATATACTTTACTCAATTAAGCTAATTTAGGTCTCTAATTGCAAGTTTTTATGATTGTATCTGAAATTGTTAGGCAAAAATAGCCTGCATGCTGAATTTCAGATCTCTGGAGCAATCAGTGGGCTAATTTTTGTTGTCAATTTTAACAACAAACAAACAAACGCAAAGCTAAGCTAAGAAAAACGTTTTAAAAATTACTCTTGAGACATTGGATCCAATATGAAACAAATATGATCAATAAAAATTAGTAATCTGCACAACCAAAATATTACACACAGTGCTTGAAAGTTTTTTCTTTTTAAATATACCCTTCCAAATAAAAATATCAAGGAACAGTCTCAAAATTTTTTGGACACATTTACCTGAATATCTGAGTGAATAACATCTGTCTCCAACACACGGCAAAACTGCTGAAACGGGCATCTGGCTGCTTGTCAAACTCCTCCAGCAATGCAGCCAGATCCTTCAGGTAACCAGATGCAATGTACCAGGTTCCTTGAAGCACAATAAATAATTTAATTATATGGAATTCCCATTGGCACTAATAGATGGAAGAACATTCTGATTCCATATGAAATTTTCACACAATTTTTCTGAATTTGTTTTCAATTGCATCATGGTCTGGTTTGGTCTGATAGAGATAAGCTCTAAGTCAAATAAAGTAGTAAAAGGTTCTTTTAGATATAAAAATTGACGCACGCAATTGACCAACAATTACTGCTTGGCACTGTAATAGGTTGATTGATATACTTCTGAAAAAATTTCACCTATCACTCATTAGTCTGAACCTTCAACTATGTATCTTTTCACAAGGATAAATTGCATGGTGAGAAAAACTCCAGACATAAGCAAGGAGATAAAAAATGCTAAATACAAAGGAGTTTGTTGCTAATGGCAGTCATTAATTTGAGTTTTTTCTCTAAAAATAAACTTGTTACATTATTACTAATTAGTTTCTCAGTTATAGAAATGATTTTATTTCCACTGCAGTTTCATATTATGAACAGAGTACAAATTTTAAAATTAGCACAACATTTGACTTACCCGTAACAGAATAAGGTTGTCCATACGGAGGTCGTATTCTCTTTTGCCTGACCAATTCAGTGAGAGCCTCAATGGAATGATCTTCACTGAAATCCAGCAGTTCAGAGGACATGGCAGAATCAAACTTCACCTTTTTCTTGGTTGGATTTCCATCTTTTTTATCCTGAACATTGAAGGCTTTGGAAAATTTTGATGGCAATGTCTTCTCTTTAGACTTCACATGGTCTCGGGACACCAAGATTGACTTGGTTGGAGACCTTTCATAATTTCTGGTTTTGGCACTGATAGAAGCTTCCACATTCTCTCGCTTCAACCGATTAACTCTTTTCCTTGGGAAAAGAGTCCGGTTTTTACTCTCAGTAGATTTTTCTACAGCTGAATTCTGTGGTTGCTCAGCAGCAAATACATTGATGTCAGAAAGTTTCCGTTTTCTTGTTGATTTCTTAGGATTACCAGAAGTATAATTACTGTCAGACTTCACTGCAGGGGAGATGCTAGAACAGATAAGTGGCATGTCATCTCCCACTTCACTTTTGTCAGCTTGTCTCTTCTCAGGAGCTTGGATATCAGTCACATTGTGATTCTTGGAAACCTTTTTCTTTGGGGATTTCCCCCTTTTGTTCATAGCAGTAGCTGACTCTGCAGGGCTGTGAGAGGAGTTCCTTGAATTCTTGGTAGAAGTTTTCCTGGGACTTGTAGGAATTGAATTTTTCACAGACTTGATGGGTATATTCTTTGTTCTTTTGCCTTTGCCAGTTTCATTGCCAGAAAATTCACCATTAATGTCTCCATTTACATTATTGCAGGCATCTACTTCATTGCCACTTGCAGAGTGAGGCAACACAATTCTCTCAATGTTCTCAGGGTTTGACTCATTATCATTAATGCTATTGCTGGAAAAACTAGCAGTATGTTGCCATTCTTTGGGAGGAGTGAATTTAGTAATTTTTACTTGTATTTCTTTGCAAAGCTTCAATTTCTTTGCATTTATCTCCTCCAATTTTGAACCACTTGAAGTTGCGAGTGACATCATGACTTCTGGAATAATGAAAAAATTACTGATACATTTCAAGCAAAATAGAAATTTTGAATTTCAACTTGAAAAGAAGTTCTGGGCAAACAAACAAAAATTTCAAGGTTATAGACAATTCTAGCTGTTAACACGTTGACTATGATTGCTTCATCTTGTACAATTATTTAATTTTTTGTTCATTTTTTAAGCAGGGTTGCCAGACGGTCATTTTTTCCAGACATATTCCGTGATTTAGTTTTTCTCAATTGCATTGGCTGGCTAAAATTTATGATAGGGGTACTTCCTAATTAAATTTTAAATACTGCAAAAAGAAAATAAATGGAATTTTTATAGCGGAACCTACAAATAAACTAGTATACATTGAATTATTGGCCTTTTTTGGCCTTCTTTGTTTTCGGATTTGGCCGATTTTAGGCAACCTGAATTATGTACCACTACGTCCTGCAGAAATACATTTCGTGGTACGCATATGTACCAATACGTAGTCAACGTGTCAATCCACTGCCAATGTTCATTATTGTTTTATACATTGTTCATTTTCACACATTTCACTATATAGAAATGCTCACTTTCAATTTAAGTAATATTAGTTGCATAATGTTTTCATACTATTAGTATGAATTTACTTCAATTGATTTAAAATTTCAAGCGTCCTAATAATTGATTGGTACACTTCTATCAACTAAGTTTTCTGTGATTAGTACAATTACAATTGTATATACCGTAAAATGGGGTAACTTAGACCACTTTTTTTTATAAATGATTTATTTTTTTTTTTGTGATTCAATTCAATTTTTTCAAAAAAAATATTCAATTTTTTACTAGCTAAATTAAACTTGAATGGAAACATGCAAAATACAGGTCTATACTCTAGCTTCACTCACCATTGCTGGCTCCTGCCTCTCATAGTCTTCATGTAATTTCAAAAAAAAGTGATGGTCTTTGTTACCCCAGCTCTTGGGGTAACTTAGACTGGGTGGTAAAATCAATTATATATTTTGGTAAAATAACTCCAAATAACTCCAGGTTTTGGTGCATTGTAGTAGAACTCTTCTAGTTACATATGCAAATGACAAACTTGAGGAAAGTGTCATAGTTTGCAAATGGGGGCGCCACCCCATAATGAGGGAAATGTGACTACCTAATGGCCGCCCTGATGGGGTAATATTGACTGGCTTGGAAATTAAGTTAAAATTACCATATATATATATGCAAACTTTTCAAATCTTTCTATTGTGTTATGTAGCCTCAGTATTAGGCCTTTAATGCCCATTGACAAAATTTTTCTATGTCAAATAGTTTTTGAGTTGTGGGGGTTTTTGTTAAAAAAAACGAAAAGTGGTCTAAGTCACCCTGCTGGTCTAAGTTACCCCATTTTACAGTACCATGGTATGTTGCTTATTTGCTTCAATACATTGATCTCTAAATTTTTCTGCTGTTTACTCCACTTCAAGACAATTGTATTTTGGACAGGTTCACATGAATGCTAAATGAAGCTTGATGCTAAATGATGGTTAATGCTAAAGGATTGCAGTTCTAGTAAACTTCTTAAATAAAAGGATTTTATAGGCTTTTGTTGCATCAATTATTATACATTAATTTTTTGCAACTCAGATACATTTCTCATGTCCTGTTTCCTACATGAAATCTCTAGCTTGAGAAGGTGCCCACTTTACTTGTACTTTCAACATAACTGGCAAATTTTCATTCCATTCCAGGTCAAATAACTCAATTATTGTTTCACAACACATTTACCAGCAATTATATTCATGATTGAATATCCAACACGTTAAGTACAGCACAACCCACCGGTGGGTGGCAGGGTCTTTTTTCCAGACAAATTCTGCAATTTAGTTTTTTACAATTGCATTTGTTGACAAAAATTCCTGATGGCATAACTATCTCATTAATTTTAAAATGTGCATAAGAAAAAAAATTTAATTTTTGCACCGGGACCTACAAATTTACCAGAATATTTGGAATTATAGGCTTTTTTATTCAAAGACTTGGCTTTTTTTCGGCCATCTGACAGCTCTCGTCTGTCATGCCACACTTAACGTGTCAATGTCACTGATAATGAGGTTTGTGACAGGAGATGAGGTCTAACCTCCCCATACCCATAGCAATAACAATTATTATTAACAATTTTAATCAATACAGCCAAATGCAATCAGCTCAAACAAGTGATTTTTTATGGTCATAAGAATTGCTTCTTCAAACAAAAAGTCCTAAAAAGACAAATTGCTAGCATGAAAAAGTAATTGAAAGAAATCTATGTAAGAAAGAGTTGCTCCTACAATACTGGCATTCAATTTATACATTTTGAGATATCCAATAAGAGTGCAGAATAACATCTTCGAAGAAAATACAGTGGCATACCTATAACCAGGGTTGTACTGCAAACCAGTTATACAGCACAACACAATTTCCAATACCATAGTTTGTAATAGGGTTTGGTTGTAAGGCTTGGTGAGGGAAAGTTCCACTGTATCAACACGTTGACTACAATTGCTTCATCTTATACTATTATTTCATTTTTTGTACTGTTTTTAACCCATTAATGCCACTTGGCAAGTACACTTGCCACTTGCAAAAAATGAAATTACTCCGAAACTACGGAAGTTGAGGTTTGAAATGGAGTCTCACGGTAACAAGACGAGTACCGAATGCATTCTGAACGGTAACAGCAGCATCAGGCGCTGCATGCCTGCTCAGTTGGCCTTGGAATTTGATGGTGTGAGCCATGGCGCTACTATGTCATAAAAAAATGTAGGTTGTCACTTGTGTCAGCTAGTTAGAACGCACTACTATAGAGAACAGTTTTCTTAAAAAAATGTCCTAATGATATATATATGCAATTTTGTGATTCTTACATAATATGACTACTATATTGTGACGTGAATACATGTGACAAGTGTACTTGCCACTCGGATATAAAAGTAGGGAACCGCTTTTTTTCCAGATACCGATGGAAAATTAGTATTCATTTGTTTAACTCATAGTCAAGGTTGTCTCTAGATGAAATTCATGACTTCTTCTCATTGCAAGAAGATGCAGACGACCAATTTGAAGTCAAAGTAGCAATAGAGCCCCCAGAAGAAATGCCTGAAGCTGCAACAGATCATGACAGTGATGCATCAGATGATGAAGTTATGTGCGATCCCGAGCACCTTCCGGGGAGAATTTTGCTTGCTAATGTTCTAAATGAATCTGTAAATGACGGTCAACTCCAGATTGTCTCTAATCCAACCTCAACATCTACCAGCCTTGGATCAAAACATCGAAAAAGGGTGATTTACACGTGGCATACAGATAAAAGCAAGATTGAAAATCTAGTACCAGATTTTAGCGATGCACCTGAGGAACAGTTTAGTCAATGCTGCTGAAACAAATCCATTGGAGATTTTTGAGGAACAATTTTGGACACAAGATTATATTGAATTTTTATGTGAATAAAGTAGAAACTACGCTCATCAGAAAGGATTCCTTTGTAAGTTGTAGCGATGTAAATGCCAAAAACACGAAGGTATTTTTGGCCATTCTTATTCTCTCAGGGTACAATAAGGTTCCTCACAGAAGACTGTATTGGACTGAGTTACCTGACACCCAAAATAAATTTGTTATGAATGCAATGAGACAGGATGCCTTTGATCAAATAATTAGATGCTTGCACTTCAACGATAATACAAAAATGAATGATGATCGATTCTACAAGGTGCGTCCGCTTTTTGAACACTTGAACAATGCTATCAAAGATGAGACAAGTTGTGAATACTACAGCATTGATGAAACAATGGTTCCATATTATGGAAGACATGGTGATAAGCAGTATATTAGAGGAAAACCAGTGAGATTTGGGTTCAAGCTTTGGGCAATCAGCACGACTGATTGGATTCTACGGCATGTTAGGCCATATTGTGGTAGTCATTCCAGAATTTCGGATAGGGGTTTTGGTTTAGGTGGTAACGTTGTGCTAGAAATGATTGAGAAAGTGAATATGAAAGCTGCACAGCACGTTGTATTTGACAATTTCTTTGGTTCAGTTTCATTACTAGAGGAACTTGCTCAGAGGAAAATCGCTGCTACTTGTACTCTTAGGGAAGTGTACATCAGGTGCCCCATCAAAGTACATCTGGTGCCCCTATCTGGTGCCCCACTAAAATAGAGAACAATTTTGGAAAAAGAAGAAAGAGGAACTAGTGATGAAGCATTCACAGGCTGCATCTCAGTTGTAAAGTGGAAAGACAACAAAGTGGTAAGCGTTGCCTCTAACAAACTTTGCGCAGATCCTGCAAAGAAAGCAAAAAGGTGAAATTGAGTGGCCAGGAAACATTTATGTTGACCTACCACACTCAATCTACGTCTATAACCAGCACATGGGTGGTGTGGACCTATTTGATCAACAGGTATTGGCATTACTGTGCAGAATAAGATCAAAGAAATGGGGGTGGCCTTTTTTCGCTTGGACTGTGAATGCATAGGTGGTAAATGGATGGAGAATTTCTAGGAAAAATGACAAGAAAATCAGCTTATTAGATTTTGCTCGGCAACTGGTGATGGGAAACCTAAGGTAAACTAGGTCCAGTTTCGATGCCTGTTGTAAATACAGTGCATTACAGCAGTCAGCATCATTGGACCTACAAAGGCAAAAGTCCGTACAACAGGTGCCATGAATGTGGCGCCCGTACCATTTATTTATGCAGTGTGTGCAACTTTCCTGTACACCCAGAGTGCATGAAAATCTGAGAGAAAGAAACCAGAGAACCAGAGTGAAAACAAGAAAAAATGAACTTTGAGTGGGCAATACATGCATAGATTCCATTGGCAAATCCATTCATGTACTTTAGATATCTACCCACTCTGGTTATCTCTTCTCTTGGACATGATTTTTTTATAGCCGGGTGGCAAGTATACTTGCCTGCCTGTATTTCGAGTACCATCAACCGGGGCAACTTGGGACTGGCAGGGCAACTCGGAACGCACCTCCGACACGGCGTAAAACTGTTATAGTAGCGAAACTAATTGGAATATTGCAAAACTAAATATAGTGGCGTAAACGTCAACATTTTTCCTATCTATGTAGTATAAAGGCAGTCGAAAAATACAAAATTTACTAGCTTTGAAAAATTCCTGAAAAAAATGGTGAAAAATGCTGTTTTGAAAAGTTACTTCTGCTAAGGTCTGTAGCAAAAAAAATATTCGCCGTATCAAAAAATTTTACTTACATAAAAGTTGCACCCAGGTGTCGGCTTGAAAACGTAATTGGCAGATTTTGCCTATCTCATTACAAAAAAAAAATGGCGGCCATTTCCGCACGGCGGGGCTACTTGGGCCACCTCCCCCAGAGCTAGTCGGGACACCTCCAAAAACGCATTTACGGTAGAACCTCAGTTAGCAAAAGCTCCAATTACGAAAAAAATTGATTAAAAACAAAGAATATTGATCACATTTTCCTTGCTCAGCGAAAAAAATTTCACTTATCGTGTTATGTAGCCTCAGTATTAGGCCTTTAATGCCCATTGACAAAATTTTTCTATGTCAAATAGTTTCTGAGTTGTGGGGGTTTTTGTTAAAAAAACAAAAAGTGGTCTAAGTTACTCCGCCGGTCTAAGTTACCCCATTTTACGGTACTTATAATTATTTCTTAATTTCCTCAATAGAAAATAAGCAAAGTTAAATTAAATTGCCCAAGGTTTCCTCAATAGAAATTAGGCAAAGGCAAATGCTAAAATTATCTGAGTCTTCTGAGAGCATGAATATCTTTGTCTGAGTTTGTCAGCATAGTGGCAAACCAGAGATTTTTTAGAATTAGTTCATTTTTAATTTCATAATTTTCTCAAGATTTAAATCAATTTCTTATGTATGACAATGCTGGTATCCATGGTACTTTATTGGTCTACTTATAAGACTCAAAAATGAACTTGAGGTAGAGTCTAAAAAACTCTCTGCAGTCTGCTTTGCCACTGTTTGTCAATTGTCAGTTTGTCTCTTTCACAGGTGGCATCTGCTTCAAGCCAACTGCTGCACTGCATGATTATACACTCCAGTTTGGACTTTTCACTTGTAGGGTAAACGCGGTATATTCCGACACATTAAGGACGCATCGAGAAATGAAAAACTATAAAAAACCGTATGCGTTACGTAAGTTCTGTTGCCTTTGTTTTAATTAACAGCTATTAGGCTTTTAATTAAGCAAATTTCAATTTTTGTACAAAGCTTTGAAGTTTGAACAATCTGTGAGTGTCCAATTCAAGTTGTGTCGGAATTAGTTTTCATGTGTCGAAATCCAACATCTCAACTTAATCATCTATTAATTTATTTACGACTTGAAATCAGCAAATACAAGTATACTTAAAGGATTCCTAATATATTCACAGACGTATATAAAAGTCTCAAACCATAATATTCTTCCTATAAAAACAGTTATTCACTATTTGGTAGAGCCATGTCAACTGTCAAATTTGACACATTTTTCGATGATCTCACCATGACCACGTGGCATGCATTGTCTCTCTTTGGATCTCAATATTTTCCCACTAGATGACCAAGACCTAGTGTTTTTGCAGTATTTCGACACGCAAATGTATGACGTCACCATTTCAACCATCAATGAACGCATGAAACTAAAACAAAGCTTAATATAAAGGAAAAGCTGGAGAGTTGACGGAATTACCTACGATGTCGGAATATACCGCGTTTACCCTACTATTAATAAGATTAAGATATGTAACAACACACCAAGAATTTGGCGAGAAATGACCAGACACACGTTGCATGTAGAAAACAACTAGTAGGAAACCTTAAAATGGAAGGTACCTTACCGTACTTCGGTACGGCGTACCTATGCCATGGAATTAAGTATGGAAGTTCTAATCAAAAATACAATGGTGCTCTGTGATTTTTGGTAAAAAACAATAAAATAAACAAAGCTACCTATTTAGGTAGATCTTAATTTAAATTCTGCTTCGACTGTTAAATTAATAAAGGAAATAGATAGTTTTCATAGGCAACAGGGGAACAGCCCAGAAGCTAGCACTTACCTCCTAGCAAGCTTAGTGGCATTAACTATATACCTAGTAAAAATTTTGTACCTAGCTCTAAAAATGTCAGAGTAGCTTCAATCACTCATATTCACAGACTCAGACAGTCAGACTCACAGCTTAAAACGTGAATATTTTCACACCGACAATGTTGCTACCACATGCATGTGGCACTGACTAATACCAAATTACATCAAGTCATAATGACATTTTTTCATTAAGACAAGAATTGGTCTCATGAGCTGCAAGCAACGCACGTTTTGGTCAGAGATACTGTGCTGGAATTGGACAAGGCTCGCATTAAATTTCGAAATCACTTTGACAAGTATATTTTCATTAACATTCAAAATCGAGCACCAACAACAACAAGTAAATATTTATAAAAAAAATACATTTCACTTATAACAGACACCTCCAGGACAACAAACAAAGGTGTAACTATTTTATCTTTTACGAACTAGAAACCTCGGTTAAATTAATCAGGATGGTCCAACATTTTACATTTCTCTATCAGCAAAACAAGTGCTGGGCTGTGCACATTGTTTGGCACGAAATTGACGACTCTTTTGAGAAATTTATGATAAGGCAGCCAGCTAAAATAATTCTGTTATGCCTCACCGAAACGTTTGCTGTACACACTGCAGGCACGCTACGCCATTCCTCTCCGGCGCTTTTGCAGTATAGCTTTCGGAATAAAAGAAAATGGAATTTTACCGGTAACTTAGAGGTAAATATTTTTATAATGATGCTCATGATTGATAGATTTAAATAAATAATTTCAGGAGATTCAATAATTCAATAATTTCACCTCTTCTTGAAAATATTCATCCCGGATTATTGTTTTATTTTCATTCACACGTAATTTCTCAATTCACGTATATAACAACTTTTCTCGAGCAGTAACTCATGTAAACTTCACTTTCCCAGAATGAATGGGTGGAAACTATTCTAGACAATCTCTATAATAGAACTGATCTATAACATTTCTTTGATTATTTATAGTACCTGAGATTGCGATTTTTCAAACATTTTAGAGGGCATAATTTGGCAAACTCCGGAGGGAAACCAATTAACAATGTTTGAATACAAATCAACGAATGATATCTTCCAAGACCAACGTTCTAAATCAGTTCTTTAGCAGCGCCTTCACAGATGAGGACTTGAACGGTATTCCAGATATTGAGGAGCACCCAGTCGGCTTGAAGTTAACAGTTTTTTAAATACACGAAGAAGAGGTTCTCAATCGCCTGGTCGCTCTAAATCCCAACAAGTCATGTGGCCCAGACGGCTGCCATCGTAGATTGCTCAAATAATTAGCAACCGTCCTGACCGGCCCATTGAGAGTATTCTTTCAAAAAAAAAAAAAACCTTGAACGAAGGAACTTTGCCGACCGGTTAGAAAGAAGCTCAAGCAACACCATTTTTCAAAAAAGGTAACAAAAGGAGCTCCGGTAAACTTCGCCATGTCAGTTTGACAAGTGTTGCTTGTAAGGTAAAGGAATCTGTTGTGAGGGATAGGATTATCGATCACTTGACTGTTCACCATCTCCTATCAGAGTAATTAGACTGTTAACATGGCTTTTTACCCGGTAGATCCTGCAACATTAGCCTCTTATCTACATTGAACGATTGGACTCGCCTGCTGGACGAAAGAGAGTCAGTGGATGCATTAAGTACCTCGATTCTGCCAAAGCACTTGACAGTGTTCCTCATGAGCGGCTGTTGCGTAAAGTGAAGTCGTAGGGGAAACGTACTCCAATGGATCAGGAGATATTCTAGTAGGTAGACGACAACGTGTCAGTATTAAACGGAACAGTGTCAGATTGGGCATCAGTGCGCAGTGGCGTGCCACAAGGAAGCGTTCTTGGGCAACGACATAAGAGTTTATAATACAGTGAATGATGCGTCAAATAAAGCGTAATTGCAAGATGATCTTGACAATATAGTTATCTGGGCTGATAAGTGGCAGCTATGTTTTAATGCTGACAACTGTAAAGTATTTCACCTCGGGAAGAACAATGAACAGCAAGATTACAGTATGAGAATACATGGTTGCAACGAGAGAGTAATGATTGAAAAGTCTAGTGTGGAAAAAGTTTTGGGAGTTTATGTCGACAATGAACTGAAATTTTTTAAGCGTGATGAAACGCAAGCTAATAAATACAACAAACTTCTTGGACTGATCAGACGCTCTTTCGAGTTCCTAGATGCAGAAGCGATGAAGCAGTTGTTTGTTGCTGTCGTGCGCCCGAACCTAGAGTTTGGACACGTCGTGTGGTCACCGAAACTTGAAAAGGACAAAAATTTAATAGAGAATGTTCAAAGACGTGCAACAAGGATAATTCCGGGCTTGAAATGCAAGTCTTATGAGGAAAGATTAAAAATTATGAATCTTCCAAGCCTCAGCTATCGACGTCTGTGTGGGGAACTCATTGAAGCATACAACTATACTCATGGCTTATACAAGGTACCAGAAGGATTACTAGAATTTGAAACAAGAACCAACACCAGGGGCCACGGATATAAACTAAAAAACTGCGTTGTAACACATCCATGCGGCAACATTTCTTCTCGCTTCGAGTCATCGACATGTGGAACAGCCTCCCTGAGGCTGTTCATCGACATGTGGAACATCGTTGACGCTCCGAGTATGAACGCCTTCAAGAAAAGACTAGACGAAGCTATGCAGGAGCATATGTTCAGTCTTAAAATGCCTAGCAATTTACGGACCAGGCAATAAGTCAAGCAGCTACCTCAATCATTCGTCAGTTATGGAAAGATCGGGTTCCAAAGGCCGGATCCCTTGTGAATCAAGTCACGAAAAATTCAAGAATTGGCAACAGCCCATGGGCCTATTTCTTCAGTGCCGACACTTCTATTCTGTTCTGTTCTGTTCTGTTCTGTTCTGTTCTGTTCTGTTCTGTTCTGTTCTGTTCTGTTCTGTCTCTTATACACATCTAGATGTGTATAAGAGACAGATCTACAATGAAACAGGCGGACTTCAGAGTACTGTTAGTAATGGATGAGTACGCTCTGCATGCTTCAAGTGTTTTAAAATGAAGTTTCATTCCCAGTGTCCCGAGTAGCCCCGTTCGACGGGGCTACTCGGGACACTCTTTTTTTGCTTCTGGCACCTTACGAATAGCATCAAGAATTTTTTTGAAGTTGCCATTCGATAGCCCTTGCAAAGAGCTATAAAATGAGCCTAAACTTGTTTATGAAATGTTTCATCGTAAGAAGTTATTAACAAAAAACGCTCAAAACCGTCCCGAGTAGCCCCGGTTGATGGTACCGTCAACCGGGGCTACTCAGGACGATTTCAAACGTTTTTCATTCATAACTTTTTACCATAAAACATTTCATAAACAAGTTTAGGCTCATTTCAAAGCTCTTTGCAAGGGCTATCACATGGCTTCTCAAAAAAAATTCCATATGCTATTCATAAGGTGCCAGAAGCAAAAAAAGAGTGTCCCGAGTAGCCCCATAAAACGGGGCTACTCGGGAACTTGGAATAAAACTTAATTTTAAAACATTTGAAGCATGCAAGATGTTCTCATCCATTACTAACAGTACTCTGAAGTCCTCCTGTTTCATTGTAGATGATGTAGAGGTAGAATAAATGACATTTTCTGTGATTTTTACTTCTTTTTCCTTTATTGATATGATATTACCGTACACATTAATTACAGTATTATTGATGCAATATTATCATATCCATGAACAGGCCATTGAGCATTTCAACTACCTTGTTCACTGCAAGCTTCATATCAGCAGCCTTATAGCATTTTTTCTGTATCTTTAAGCTTACAGAACGGCTTGTAATTTCACACCATTATAATTGGGTTAAGTGAATTTACTATAAAAAAAGATTGTGAAAAACATACCTGAAACATAAAGGAATGTTTTAGTGACAACCATCATATGTTTTGGAGAAATAAATCATAGTTTAGGTCAATTACTTTTCATTCTATGATGCCTGGTGCACAATTCTAGATATGACATTCTATGCACAATTTTGTGACAACCGACGATGCACTAATTTTTTGATAAGTGAAATTTTTTTGCTGAGCAAGGTAAATGTAATCAATATTCTTTGTTTTCAATCAATTTTTTTTAACTGGAGCTTTTGCTAACTGAGGTTCTACTGTAAATGCGTTTTTGGGGTTGTCCTGAATAGCCCTAGGGGGGTGTCCTGAGTAGCCCCACCGTGTGAAAATAGCTGCCATTTTTTTCGGATTGAGGTATGTAAATTCTGCAAATAAAGTTTTCATGCTGACACTTGTCTGCCACATTTTTCTAAGCAAAATTTTTTAATATGGCAAATATTTTTTTTTACTACAGACCATAGCAGAAGTAACTTTTCAAAATATAGTTTTCACCATTTTCTTCAGGAATTTTTCATAGCTAGTAAATGTAGTATTTTTTGCGCCGTGTCAGAGGACTGTCCCGAGTTACCCTGCCCATCCCAAGTAGCCCTGGTTGACAGTAATAATGAAAAAAGTTAAATTTTTTTGTAACAATACTTTAGAAGAAACCTAAATAAATCCCTCAAATGGAAAAAGTGTTTTAATAATCGGCAGGGAATTGTTGGCCTTAATGGGTTAAACAGGGTTGCCAGACGGTTATTTTTTCCGGACAAATTCCATGATTTAGTGTTTCTCAATTGCGTTGGCCGGCTAAAATTCCTAAAATTGGCCGGGTACTTCCTAATTAAATTTTAAATACTACTGGAAAAAGAAAATAAATGAAATTTTCATAGCAGAACCTACAAATAAACTAGTATATATTGGGTTATCGGCCCTTTTTGTTCTCGAATTTGGCCGATTTTAGGCAACCTGAATTATGCACCACTTCGTGGAGAAATACATTTTGTGGTGCGCATATGTACCACTTCGGAGTTAACGTGTTAAAGCTCAGAGAGCATAACACACAGTGTTGCTTCAAATCAAAAGCATTGCTGATCTTGCTCAAGCCCATTCATCTTGTGGTTAAATTTTACATGATTTCACAGTCTGGGAACTTGGTAGGGAGTAATGACATATTCATAGTATATACCGTCAAACGGGGTAATACAGG